GTTTCCTCAGCATAATTCCCAAACGTGTCCAAGCATTCGCATGAACAGGGTCGTCCAACGAAATCATACGGATACTGAGAAGTATATGTATATACATATATTTTTGGGCGCGCCCCTATTTGGGGTCCCTTACGTTTTTCGCTACATCATCTGACTGAGCTATAACCACCAGACTAGGTTATAACCAGCCGATTAGGTTATAACCAGCCGACTAGGTTATAACCATTCGAATAATTTATAATCAGGTATACATTACAGCCGACTAGGTTATAATCAGGTGTACGTCATCGACTACAGTATTATATCCGGTTTGAAGACCATGTCTTCAGAATGCTGAAGCCCGCACAACGCTAAGAATTCTATGACACCTTCGTCGAAAACCTGTTACAATGTGCTAAAATCCTTGCTTTGAAGCCGTCGATGTAGCTTCGTAGTTCATGTTTGTGTGACTGTATCTAAACCGCTGTAATTCAGTTTTTTCCAACAAGCGCGCTGTAGTCATTAGTCTGGTTCAGTCATTCCTTATCGCGAACTAGATTTTGCAACGAAACGTTTTCCATCTTTGTACTGTAATGCCGCAATCCCACCAAAGTGTCTGTTGTTGGACGCATTGCTATGACGTTTTGGCAAACTGATAGCTTTCAATGACATATCCCTGTGCCCCCATGTGATTGCTTTTAAACACTGGTATATCCGGTAGCTATATTTGAGTGGTGCATTCCTTAATTCTGTATGATGGCTGCCCCAAGCCAAAATTGAAAACTTGCATACTACAAGCTTAGCAAACGTTGTATAGTGTTTTTCCTAGGGGACGACATGAAGCGTCGCTTCTTAGGCTTGGCACTGTTTCTATATGCCGAGTGATGTAGCCTGTGCTTCTTGTATCAGCATACCTTAACCATCACGTAAAGCCGACTGAAAACCATAAGGCTACATCTAGCTTGTCCGAATTTCTGTTTGTGTTCTTGTGAATATTTACTGAAAGTCGAATAGAAGCCATTGTTCCCAGTCCAGAACGTGATCCTCGTGTTAGACAAAGTGGTACACACACACACACACCGAATCACTCCTCGAAAGAAGTTCATCCATGTAGTTGGAAATAGCACTGCGAGGAATTTTCTACGTACCGAGCGAGGAAACCTAACAGTTTAAGTCGCGAATTTTGTTTCGCTCACCACACATATTCTTATCAGTTTTGTCTCGTCGAAATCCGGCTTCCTTGGAACGATGTTTGAGCATAACGTTGCAACCAGTTCACCTATGTACGAAGTGATGAAACCTGACCACGCTGTAAAAATTGAAATGCTCTCTCTCTCTACAATGACGTCGTATCAGCCGTATCTCAACTTTCTATGTACCGTGATATTCCAATGTTGACAACACTTACTGACCTACTGTAATCCCGATAGAGCCCCTTCATATTCCGCATCTTGATTCCTGCGTGAGTGACATGTTAGCGGCTATTCTCTCAATGTGTACATAGGTCTCATAAACCCGATGTACTGGAACGGACAGACCATTGTGTAAAGTCGCCAAAAAGCCTTTCCGCTAAAGTTGGGGAATGCGCATATGGTCCCCGGAATTATGTTTGTTACAAAGCACTGCATCATGCCTCAACAACCGCATACACGCCAATTACCTCGGACCCTCTATTCTTCTAGTCCTTGTTTAATTTCATTGCGGTTACATTCACCCTGAAACACCGACACTATCGAACGTTTGGATTTAGGTGTTGATGAAGTACTGTAGCGGTGGCACAGGCCTGGTTATAACCTCTGTCCCCGGTTATAACCAGGACACCTGCGTAGTAGGCAGCCCTAGACCCATCACTACGTAAACCATTAAACCATTAACAAACCGTTAAATTAGAACACCGTTAAACAAATCCTTTGCCCCAATGGACCCAAACCAATAAACCATTAAACCATTAAACCAATCCTTTTGCCCCATACCACTAAACCATTAAACCATTAAACCAATCCCCTTACCCCATACCACTAAACCACTAAACCATTAAACCATTAAACGAATCCGTTTGCTCCATACCACTAGACCACTAAACCACTAAACCATTAAACCAATGCTTTCGGCCCATACAGGGATGTGTCTCTCTCTATAGGGGAAAATGGTTGGTTTAATGGTTTAATGGTTTATTGGTTTGGGTCCATTCGAGGAAATGATTGGTTTAATGGTTTAATGGTTTATTGGTTTGGGTCCATTGGGGGAAATGATTGGTTTAATGGTTTATTGGTTTAGTGGTATGGAGCAAAAGGAATGGTTTAATGGTTTAGTGGTTTGGGTGTGCAAAAACCCAGGGGACCCCATATAGGGGGGTACCCATATTTTTGATGTACACTAAGATATCACATGTCTTAGACATAGCTGCTGTATGTGACTGTATATGTATTCTTACCCGTGTGTAGACATATACATTTACACACCCAGGCATATATGCATATATATTGCATGGTTTATCAAATACGACTCAATTTTCAGTTTGCTGTATGAGACTCTTCTGCAAGTGCGCAGGACGGCACCACGGTGCGCATCTCCATGAGCGACTCCTCCTTGCAGGAGCAGATTTCGCCTCCGTGCGGTTGCCTGTACCTTGGGCTGCGTGTAGGGTTTTGAGTTTTCGGGTTTAGGGCTTGGGAAAGACCGGGGACGAAGAGCGAGAGAGAGGGAGGCTTTAAAGGGTATAGGGAGATGGCGAGACAAACCGGGCATATCTGTGTTGGTAGCATGCGTTGCGTGCACTTCCCCTTCTGGCTCTCTTGGTTGTTGCACCCCACGAGTTACCAGGGTAGTAAGTATAGGGGTCCGAACAGTCATACCCTTGTAGTCCATATGTAATTGTCGTTTGTGTCTTTTCGGCCTCTGATCATGTTTCGAACTTTAGGCAGTTATCTAAGGAGGGCAAGGAGGCCGAAAGAGTGTGCAGGTGAAGATACAGGTATCGGCAACCCCGCCAACCCGCAGGAAAAACGCAAGTATTTATTTCGGGCCCGTCAAAAGGTGGGATGAATCTGGTATGAAATTATGTGAAATTAGGGATCCCTGAAACAAGGACTCTTGTGAGGAATGAGCCCACCTACCTTTATCCCACCTTTGAGGCCCTTTCAACAGAGGAAAGGTGAGAGAGGAAGATGGAGAGACGAGGAGAACAGGTCTGGAAGTCAGGTTTCGTGATACGAAAGTGCACAGTCTGAATTTGTGCAGCGTCAGGGTTCGGCTCGTTTCACACGCACATCCATAGACTTTCGGGTTTAGAGCTTAGTGCTTATGGTGTCAAGCCGCTACTGCGGATGGATATCGCAGCGGCATCGGGCGGACTGACCCAACACATTCGATCAACAGGCCGCCACAAGTCGTATGCAGCAAGAAGAGAAGTGAAGATCCGGTAAACGAAGTGATTATCATGATACTAACGAACTAGAAATACAGCAACAACACCGACAATGGCACTCATAAAGTACACAATATCAATACTAACAGCCGAGGTCTTCATCGACCAAGTCGAAGTCACCAGTAAGGTCACAAGCACCATTGCAACAGCCAGCCAGGCCACCGTTAAAATGTGGGCGCTTGACGATTTCTCTTTAATCGTGGAGCGCTGGCAAGAGCTCGTTGGTGGAGAATTATCAATGTTAGGTGCTGTAAATCATGCTGCCGATGGGCAGGCCTTTGGCCCCCATTTGGCATTGAAGAAGGCTCCCAAGTCCGCAAAGTCTATAGCATCTTTTAGTCACTCAGGAGCAGTGTCAGGTTCATGCTTGCATTGTCGTTTTGTGGATGTTGCAGTCGCAGCAGTGCAGTGGCATCTTATACAAGCCTCTATGGCCGCTTTGCCGCACGATCTGCTGCGATGTATCATGATATCTGCCAGATTTGGGCGTTCATCTGCCAGATTTGGGCGTTCACCCGTGGAACACTTACAGCTGTGTCTTGTGATGGAGCACACCCCGAACTACTACTCTGCATTGGTCAAGCAGTAGATGGTTGTGAACCATACATAGTGCAGAGCAGTCAAGAATCGCTTCTTGATCGCTGTTTCACCTGTACGCATGACAGAATGCCTTTGCTGAGAGCTGAGTCTCCAGCATCGGATATTCCCATGTGACCGGAGTAGACCCGACGGCTTTCAGAGTCCCGATTCTCCAAACATCTACTCTATCTATCTATATATATATATATATATACATCTGTGTGTTTTTTGCATCTAAATATATATGTATATATGGTTATATATATATATATGTATATATACATATACGTTACTATACTATACTATACTGTAGACACTCGCAGCTCTTAGATGGAAGCTTTTCATAGCTTCGTCTCATTTGGTAGTTTCTGCTTCGTCGGGCATGAATGTTCAAGCCAACTGGGCTCCTCGACAGTGACTCATCAGCCATACTAGACCTCGCCTGGGCCAAGAAAATCTGTTTGTGGTGCGCATGCTTTTGACACTTCCACCTGTGCTTGTTTATTGGAACGTGATGAATTAGTGATGTGCTTGTGGTAATGCATTGCAGCGTTGCTTCGGCGACGTTGACGACAACACTGCCACCACGACCCGGACAACTATCACTGTATACAAGCAAAATATTGCTCTTTCTGCTGCTACCATCGCAGCTGCGTCAAAACACCTGCCGGTCCTGTAGTTTTGCAGGATTCAGATACGCTTAGAAAGACCTGGGCCATACATGATAACATCCCAGGGCAACATTAATCTCTGGTGTGACCTGTAACTTCATTTGTTGCTTGACGGGTGTTCTGGTACGTTTCTCTTTGGATTTAGTTCTTGGTTCGAACTTACTTAGCCGCATGTCAGGTTCCCAGACACAAGACACATGCCGAAGGCCTTGCCCAGGATGGGATGGTGACGGAGCTAGTTACCAATTCTGTTCTGGGGGTTCCTTATTATATTTAAAGTATAATAGACCCCAAAACCCTATTCTAATTATTAAGGCCCCTGAGCAGCAACTTCCCGACCGCAGGGGCTATCAGCGCGTCACCGGGGCACCAGACACCCGCACAGTCCGGCAGGGTGCTGCGCAGCCGCCCCGTCGTCGGCCCGAGCTTTGTATGTCTGGTGTTCGGTTGGGATTGATGGTAATGTAGAGGCCTTAATAATTGCCTATACTATTGTGGGGGTTCCTTATTATGATCATAGTATAATATACCCCCCAAACCCTATTCTAATTCTTAATCTCCCTGTTTTGGAGGAATGTTACACTATGCAAGAATTGAAAAGAGTCTGTCTGATTTTGGCTTCACGATATGAGCTGGCCTTTGGTCAATATCTCTTCATGTGTTTTCGCTTCGTCAACGTGGATTCTAGCAGTACGACTCTACCGGGGATTGCGTGGTGTCACGATGTCGAAGCTACCGGCTCTATGCAGAGTTATGCGTACCATGGTTACCAATGTATCGATAACGAACCTGACTGGCAGGGTGCCTCGTACTCTTGCTATTTAGCTGTTGTGGTACTTGGTGCAATAGACTATAAACACCAACCTGGTATCGGAGTTTCAGAATTTCGCGACGCCAATACAGACCCTATGTCTCCCGAAATGGAAGATCCTTAGTATCTCTTGCTTTTCGGAAACCCTCATATATGTATGTTTGTATATATATACATATGTACATATATATACACACATATCGAACCCTTGTCAACCAACCCTCCACAAAGCCCTATCGACAATCGCCAGTCTAAACCCTGAACCCTTTAACCCAAACAAAAAACCCGATAATGGTTATTCAAAGCCTGAAACAAAGACGAGGCTTCGAGTCAAGATCTGCTCGGATGGAACGAGTTAAGTCGCGAGTTGAGCGCCTGAGCAGCACCAGGCTACGTCAGGCAAGCAGTGAAACTACCTATCCGTTTCTCGAAATGTGCGCGGGTCCTTCTATCATTGACCTTCCACCCGACTTCCGGCAAGATCCGGGAACTATCTGCAAGTGCAGCTGCAGCTTCTACAGGTACATGCGCTAGATTGTACCATGATGTGATGTGCTTAGAGCCACCGGCTTCGTGCTTCTCGTTTTGCAGGTTCACCGCTCTCATGTCTGCCGGGTTAATGAGCCTGTTGCCCCTCACGAAACAGGTTCACCCCAAAACCTCGCCTGCTGTGCCGAGCGCGAGTGCTAAAAAGTTGAAGCTCACCCGAACCCAAACCCGACTTCTCAGGAAATACTCTCAGCGCGCACTGGATCTCGTCATGGCTGCAGAACCCGACTTCGAGGAGAGTGCTCGAAGTGCTTCGCGTAGTTACACGTATGTATATGTATATATGTATAAGATGCATGCACGAACACATGCATGCATACGTATAGTAATCTTACACAATGTATCATATCATATCCCAGCATATCATATCACAGGATGCTGTTCTAATGTTGGCCCACTCTCTAAACCCTGAACTTCGTGATCCTACTAGCCCTACAGAGTCTAAAGCCGGAGAGTCAGCGAAGACCGTAACTAGAAGCTCTACGACCCTGTTATGTTGCCCAAATACTGTGTTGTTAGATTACACTATGCTTGCACAGGAGCTTGTCTGTCGGGGTTAACAACAGGGTGACTGTTCTGCAAGTGTTTCGATTTACTGCAGTGCTCTTTGGTGTTGTTCAAGACGGTGTGCCTTGCTTACAATCGTATTCGACTAAGCTCTCTTAAGTAGAATCTGGGAAACACATGTTTGCTTAGACTTTTGGGGTTTCCGAGATAGATAGCAACCATTTGCAGCTACAACAGGAAATTTGCAGATGTAAATTGGAGTTTTTGCAGATAGCAAAGTGTAAAGGACCCTTGCGCTGATGTACTCGGACCGCCACTAGGATCGCTTTTGGAAGCCCCCCTATTTGAGAAGCGCTTAAGTTTAAGACATCCGTAGCGCCTTGCGAAGACTTTGCCGGACACCGTGTGGGCGTATATATATATATATATATATATATATATATATATATACACATATATATATACACATTTATATAGACGGATAGGTACAAAGAGAGAGAAAGAGTGAGAGAATTAGATGCATCTATCTATTTCTACACACACACACATATATATATATATATATAGATACAAATATGGAAGTATATACATGTTTATATATATATATATATATGATGCAGGGCTGCCACACCCCCCCTCCCCCCCCCACCCCATGGTATCCTCCCCCCTTCCCCCCCGCCCCCCCTGTGGTGCGGGGCCTCTGGTGGTACTCTTTTTGCCACGACGTTCTTATGTGTTACTCCTTGTCTTCCCTCTTGTTGTGGCACCGGTGATACTGCTCATGATGTTGTGCTGCTCTAGACCGGGACATGAGTCGACGATCATACCATGCTCAACATCATCCTTGTCGTCGTCATGTTCATCATTGATACCTTCAAAAGAAGATCTGCCACCATCACCATCGCAATACAACCCTCATAATTACTGATTCCGAGATGCCGCTTTCCGCACACGGGGCATAGTGCGACACTCCCGATCCGCGCACAAGGTCAAGGGGCGGGCAAGGGGGGCGCGCCGGCGTGCAGGGGGTGGGCGTGCAGCAGGGGGGGGGGGGGGGGGTGGGGGGATACCATTGGGGGGGGTGGGGGGGCGGGGGTGGCGGCCCGTGACCCGAGAGCATATATACACAGGTGTGTGTATCTACCGAAAGACGAGGAGCGGGTAGAGAGAGAGAGAGTGAAGGACACGGAGCTGCAGTACTATGTGAAGATTTTGAACCGATGCCGCGGGCACGCGAAGGTGCGGGGACATGTGCCCACTGGGCACCAAACACTGTTGAAATAATTAAGGCGCCGAAAATAATTAGTTAGCAGGGCTATTCGGGTGAAGAACCTTAGTTCGCATCTCAGCCGCGGTCGAACTCAGCTCACCGTGTACTGAAGCTTTCCGGCGTCAGGCTTGAATGCTTGAACGTGCTTCAGCAGCGGATGCTTCCCTTGCGAGGTCGAGAACGCAGTTTTCCTGAACACCATCATAAGCGTCGGAAGAGTTAGTAGCAGTATCCTCTCTATGATCAGAGCCCAATCCTCCATCACACCCCAAAACGCACCCAATATCCTATTCCAGCTATGAAGGCCCTATATTCGGTTCTGTCAGCTTCTTCTTGGGCCGTTCTGTCAGCTTCCTCTTGGGAGCTTGAAGTTTAAGGGATCTGGATCTATGAGGCTGTATTTTAAACTGCCATAACCTACTTTAGTGTAAGTTCCGACCATGTGTAGGGACACTAAAAAAAAGTAGGTGTTCGTAGTTCAACGTGTTAGTTCTAATCCCTACATTCTTAAATCGACAGCTCCCAGTCCGTTTGCGGCTCGCCGTGGAGCGAGTGGCAAACTTCCGGTGACTGCGAGCTTTGCAAGCGCCGTACCTGGGCTGAATGGACTTTGTGTTCGAGGATTTTGGCTTTTCAAGTTGGGGGGGTTCTTTAGGTAGGTTTGAGGGCTTTAAGGACATCTGTTGTTGGGCTCTTGTCTTCCGAAAGGTCTCTACTGACAGCTCGACTGCTGGAGAACTAGCAACTGTACTGCTTCATGGCTGTGGGGTTGTAGACTGATACTTCCGCGACCTTGCATGTGCCACTGTCGGTCTTGCGCAAGCCCTGTTTGTGAGAGCAGTGGCACCCCTCTCTTTTCTTCCTGCAGCCAGTTCCTGACTTGCTCTGATATTTTCACGACGCGCATGTTCGTCTCTGTTCTAGCTAGGAGTGCCAGCATGGCAGTAGAGAGTCCAATGCTGATGGTGCCCTTTCAGGGATTACAGCCCAAGGCTGTTCCAGGTTTTTGGGAAAAGGTCCTGGAAGCAAACGGTCGAGTGGTTCAACAAAAACTACATGTTGAGGCTTACAGGGTTGAGTGTTCTCAAGTAATAGTAATAGAAATCGAACTAGTAAGGCTAATAACGGCACCACGCTTACAAACAATGGGCAGTTTTGGTAGTACCCTGTGCCGAGGGTGAACATCCGAGTACAGGGATCAGAAGACAACAAGAAGTTGCAAGCCCAGCGAGAGCTGTACAACCGGCCGGGAAGCCCTGTCCCACTTTTCAGCCTTTACCCGAACCGTTGAACCATGGTGCCACCCACGGCTTTCCGAGGCATCGATCGGCCTGAGAAGGGGCTTCAGTGCACTCAGGGAGGGCACCGGCTGTGTTGGAGATGCATGAACCTTGTCTTCTGATGAAGATCTCTCAACGCTGCGGCGAGTTCTTGGATGTAGTTGGGGGCTTGCAGGCTGGATGCAAAAAGTTTGGGGTTAAAGCCGATCTGAAATACAAGAAATCAGCATGGGCCAATAGCACTGTAACGTATCAAATTTGCTAGCGCCGTTTACTTCCACTCGGACGTAGATTTACATCGGACTTTGAAGAACTAAGGGTGATCACGGAGTGACAGTACTCGCAAGGCGCCCACCTTGTACCGGTTCGTGTCCCCTGCTTAGAGTGGGAGACGCATAGAAGGAACCTGGATGATACTGCCCTAAGCTCAAGCCCCAAAAGCCCGAAACTCTAAACTAAACCCACCAAAACCCGAAGAAACCCTACACTCTAAACCCCACACCCCCGATACTCCTACGATATTTAACTCGTTTCCAGCAAAGCAACGCCTCAAGAAACCGCGGCGCCCAGGACCAGCATCATGAACTGGGAGTGCTGCAGCTGCAAGTAAGCTCCGGGAATCGTGCGCCTTGGGAGTGGGGTTTTGCTTTACCGTATATACAAGGGGCGGTAGAAGCTGTCAGAGATACTATAGGGTAATCATCAGGGTTACCATAACGCCTGTATTGATAAGGCTTTTTGTCAAGGGATGGGACTCTTCCCTGAGGGGATTAGTAACCCCTAGTTCTGAAGCCTTTCCAAACTGTCTTCTGGCCTGTTAAATCACCGCATACGGCGAGGATCTCCCACCTTTGCCCATCCTGAAACACATGCCTAAAGCTGGAAGCTGCAGTACGTCAACGACCACCATCTCTACAGTAGCCTTTAAGCCCTAGATTGCCCGGCCTTGTGTCAAAGGCACCGGAGTCCAAACTTTCATGGGGTTCGGGCTGCGAACTCCAGACGGCTACCCTTGCACCAGCTCAGACGTATCCTGAGGCCCTCCAGACATTTGGTCCGCCGAGAGCAGTTGAGGCTTCATGGTACGTCGGAAGGAAAACTCCCGAACGTACAGCAATAGCATCTTCGGAGAACATGAAGCCTGAACCCCGAATGCTAATATAGGGGCCGCGATACTTGTCGATAAGTAAGCTTAGAGCCTTAGAGTTCCTGAATGTGTCCATGACCTATCATATTCTCCTCGACCTCATTCTAACTAATTAAGTGTTCAAGCCCCTACATTAGACCACAGAGAGCCCTGTGAGCCCAGACCAAGTCTCCCGAGCATCCCTCGTGTGGAAAAGACCCGCAACCCCTTAAAGCTTTATGCCCCAAACCTGCTCAGAAACTCCCCGCACAAGCCCGCTTGAACCCTAAACCCCAACGCTCCAAACCCAAACCCGAAACCCTACACCCCGATGAGACACGTGGAACCTTTATAATCGAAATCACCGACCTGCGAATCTCTGCATATCATTCGGGAGCCTGGGTTCTCCCTGGACAAATGTCATATCACGCCCCCCTATGTTTCATCCCTGATACACTGGTATAGCATATGTAGAACTCCCACTCAAGACTCCTGCAACCCTATAGGAAGCCATAGCGAATACGGGCCGGAAGCCCCGACGTCCTAAGGACTTTGGCAGCCCAAGAAGGGCAAAACTCGTGGACATGGGCCCACAAAGATTGGCTTCATGGTCGAAAGTCGAAATCCTCAGAGTTTCGGGTTTTTTAATGAATTATGGGGTTTGGGGCTTTGTCACGTTGTTTGTGGCTTTGTGCTGTTTGTGTTGCTTTGTGCTGGCTTTGGAGGTGTTTTGCAGGGTTCCAGAATGGTTGTAGAATGTTGTAGAACAGTTTTTGGTTTAGAGGCAGACCTGATAAATTTAAACAGCTACCTGTTTGACACCACAGGCCTTACAGAAAGGAAGGGGCCAAAAGGATCCCCAGTGCCATCCTTCTTGAGGGACATGATAGCAAGGACATGAACTCGAGCAGACTTTTACTGCCTCTTTGCTGACTCAAGCTTTCCTAGTTGGACCGGCAGCACATTCAGGCTTCGCTGAGGCATAGAAGGTCGCTGTAGACATCGAAGCTGGTGCTTCAAAGATCAGTTGAGGACGGTATGCAACCCCCAAAATCCTAAACCGCAGCTGCCTCATCGGAGCTCTTTGACTCAGGTTATAACAGCGGCTGTTTGCAAGCAGGTGCCTCAGCAGCCTGTTCTTCGCTGGCCAAGACCTCTACATCTTTGCATGCGTAGTTTCTCGTAGCGAGCACGAACCTGTGTGTGAGCCCCAGCCGAAGCAGGCGGTGGTTCGGACACGATACTGAGTTGAAAGCCTCTGGGACCCTGCACCTGAATGTATACTGCAGCTTGTGCCTATGGTGAGAAGCTACACCTCTGAACCCTCGTTGAGTCTAGCTCTTGTCGTCCAGATTTGAGGCAGCCATGGCGCAAGCAGCGTGAGCATGCCCTTTTGCAAGGGAGCCGTTGTCTCTGCTTTGGCTTTGTGTTCCCACAGGAAATCTCGATATCATATGGTTGTTGGCGTGATGCCGGTGGCAAGATCTCTATATAGAGACTTCAGTTTCGCGAAGGTCGTGGCATGCCTCCATCCGTTAAGAAGTGTGGCGCTGCTCTTGCATAGACTTATTGGGTCGTTCATTATGGGCAGGGTCTCGGAGCAGGATCTTTGGTTGTTGTACAGTTTGATGTTGAGCAGGGTCGTGGACAAGCAGTTAGCTCGCCATGCTCAACCAACAACTGCTTTGTCGATGCCACTGTTGGCATGGATTCTGCAAATAAGTGATCGCGAACTGAGCGCGTAGTCCCGGCGTGGTGTTGTGAAACATGGTGTTGAGCGAAAACAGCGACAAGGTTCTGCAGCATCCACGGCTCTTGGGAGCAGGGGTGAGGTAGCAGGTCTCATATTATGACGAATGTGTTGATCGGAGCGGCATTCTTGGCTATTCGGTTGCTGTTCGGTTCCGACATCGGGGAACTGGTGGCGATGGAAGCTGTACGGTAAACATCTCTGTATTGGCAGACTCATGAAATAGCGCTGCCTTCGCAGCCGGTTTATCACATGGCAGCTGAAGCTTCAAGACCCGTCTCCTCAAACAGAACATTGGATCTGCAGTTCTAGTTGAGAGAAGGGAGAGACATGCTTGCATCATCTTGCATCCAACTCTCTTCTCGTCCTGGATGATGTACGAGGTCCTGGTCTTTTTTGAGCAGCTTATAACAGCATGCTTCCAGCCCGGCACACCTGAAACTTTGGGTCTCAATCAGCCTTCCGTAGTTGTGTATTTAAAGGATCCAACACGGGCTCCCTGGCTACATCGTCGATCCTCCCGCAACTTGCGGGGTTTCACCTCCAGATTTCTCAAAGGAGCGGGTGATGCGCCCATCGGTACAAGGCCTCGGTTCAGAAACAACCACCGGCTGCAGAAATGAACTCCCCACGCTTTGAGAAAGGCGTGCATGAAACGGACCTGTCCAAGAGCCCTGCAAGGTTGAACATTAGGAGCTTGAGGAGCTACGAACATCGTTCATTCGCGTTGCTTAGGATGGTCCAGTCTAATTAACGACCAACATAACGACCAAAAGCTCTCCAGGGTTTAGGAGTCAGAAGACAGTTCAGAAAGAGATCCTCGAGGTTCGTGGGCCTTGAAGTGACCCGTAACTTTGTTCTTGAGCGTAACGGCAGGTCTTGGCTAATTCGCATCCTGGTCGGATGAGGCGAGAGTTTATAGCTTTGCAGCACAATGGTTGCTGAGAGCACTGTGCAACATCGTTGTGAATCGTGTCACCTGGCGCTTATCATTTCCCACCTTGTCGTGGCATCTGGAGCATCCCGCACAGGACTTCCACGTTAAACCGCCGATGAACTAAGAAGGTGTTCTTCAACTACACCAACCTAGGAGATCGATGCAACGGCGACTGACACATCGCAAGTAGTCTACACTGCATGTCGCTGGTTGTTGCTTTGCTTTTGCTGCTTTCCGTGGCAGAAATGTCAGTGAAGTGGAGGAGTCAGACGAGCTCGCATGCCGAAAGACCCAGAGGCAGAAAGTAGAAAATGATGGAGTAGATTCAGTAGATCAATTGAGGGCGAAGCCGGAAATCCCGTCGTGTTAGTCGCTTCTTCCTGGGTGTCTGTAGGGGGGCAGGTTTGCGCCGATGACCCACGGATGCAGTCGGTCATGCGATTGTTTTGTCTTGGGGGCATTGACTCTTTCCGGGGCCATCCCTCCTCTCTGCAGCTTGCCCCGTTCCGTGTTCCTTCCAGATACAAACCCAGTGGGCACTGCCTCTTAGATGTTATCCCATGTCCCAACTGCAAATCCAAGACAAAAGCATTGCTGCGCTTGCAACGCAATAAGTACCCAAACTACTGCTTAGGTTTCTTATCATTATGCCATACTATAATATGCCCCAACACAGTGTCCTAGTCATCAGGGCCCCCTTTACCATGCTCCTCCAGTCCCCTAACTATACACCCTGCGGCGCCCAGGTGGATCCTGCATGGTGGGTCTTCTCATCAAAATTTCTGCAAGAGGGGAAAAAGGAGGGCTGGCTCTCACTCAAAGGTCCCATGTCGGAGCTTAGAGCACGTGGTAACTGGGGCCGAAGTATTTCAATTGGGTTTCGAGTGGATACATACCTACGTTTTCATCTGCGTATACGTCTGGATGAAGCCACCGTCCATTATGAAGATGGCGGTGACGAACGTTGATGTTGCACCTGCCATGTTTATCTGACCTGGGTTTAGGGATCTCGGCTTCAGGGTTTAGGGCTTAAGGTATATTTTTGTTATGCTGAGTTCAGAGAGCTGTTAGAAGACGATTGGTTTGAACTCCTGCGTGCTCTGTGCCCTTCGGCACAACATGCAGTCCCGGCTCCAAGGAGGAGGATCCTGAATGCCAGGCCCTGACAAGGAAGAGCCATGAAGAGGCCCTTACTTCCTAAGCCCCACAGCCCGAAGCGTCGAAACCCTAAAGCCCTCCTGACCTCATGAATCCGTGAGTGCTTGTCGAAACCCTGACAAGGAAGAGCCCGGTATAGTCCAAGCCCCATCTGTTGAAGCCCGAAGATGAGAAGCTCACCGAGAAACCAGAACCCAACTCCTCCGTCTCAGTGTCCGCTCAACGGTTATTCGACGAAAAACCTGAAGTGCCATTGCCCGGCTTTCCCTCCAAAATTTCATGTAACCCTACATCAGAAGCTCTGTGCTAAGATGCCGCATGAACCACAGCCAATGCAGCTGATGTTCGGAATGCACTTGCTGGCATGACTGGTCCCAGTCCGGCCGTCGTTCGCAAGGCCTCAGACTCGGAACGGATTAAGTCGGATTTTGATTAAGGTGCAGTGTACTATAGGGGTTGCTGCCATCACTGTCGCCACCACTGTCCCGCTACCAATGTCATAGTGATCACGGTAGACCATCAGTACTATTACTATCAGCACCCCACCACGACCAGGCTCTCTTCGTTTCATGGCACTTAGAATCAGGAATCGTAGCATCCTTGTTCAGGTCATGCTGGTAGCAAAACATGTGAGAACACTATATAGGCCCGAACATCTACCCCATTACCGACAAGACAGCATGAAACGCCTAATCGCAGACCCTTGAAGCAGAGGAGAACCTGAGCCTTTACAGAAGAGCGCATTATGCGTATAACCATATATATATATATATATATATATATATATATGTACATACATACATACACACATACATACATAGGTACATACATGCATACATACTCATGTACACGTACATCACTAGACTTGTACAGAGAACAAATAGAGATGTAGATATGGATATAGATATACATATACATGTATATACAGTTAGATATCGAACTAAATTAGACAATCACACATAGAAAGATCTAGGTAGATGGCTGGGCCGCAGGTGGCCGAGGACTTGGATGCAGCCACCCTGCGGGTCTTGGCTCCCACTGCCGAGGTTCTCGCCCAGCCGGACCGTTCCTTCAGAGCCGACTATAAGAGTGCACGTTTGGGGGGTTGCTAGGGTTGAGGGCTTGATTGTTTCTGGTTTAGAGCTTTCGGACAAGACGACGCCAACCCCAACCACCACAACGACCAAAAACCACAGTCACAATCCAATCGCAATCACCACGATGAAGACGACGGCGACGACGACGACCGCCACACCCACCACCACAGCCACAGTAACAGACGTAACTGTAGCTGAAGCAGAAGCAGTATAGTAACATCAACAACCACATGCCGTAGCACCAGCACCACCGCCCCTCTTGCCACGGCCACAGCCACCGGCACCATCGCCACCACCACCCAACACCGCCGCCACCACCACCACCACCACCACTGCCACCACTACCACCTACTTTTACTTCTACTCCTACCACCCCTCCTACTCCTCACTGCCAATGGAACTGCCACTGCGACTACCACTGCAGCTGCCGCTGCCATTGCCATTGCCGCTGCCACTGCCACGGCCACTGCTGCTGCTGCTGCGACGATGACGACTGCTCCGGCTCCTGCTCCTGCTGCTCCTCAGGACTCAGCTGGGCAGACAGCGCTGCATTTGGCTGTTCGGGCTCGGCCGGACGATGATGTTACGGCCGACCCCTAGATTCAACAAGACAGATCTGCAGATCACAGCTTTAGGTCTGAAGAAGAGCCCACTCAGCTGAATGCAGTCATGTATAGAAAGGTTACGGCACTTTTGGAAGCCCCAGCTTCTTGAACAAGCACAACTTTGGAAACCCAAACCCCTGTGGGAGTGCTTCGGCAGGCTTCGTATCTGTACTCGCTGTAATGTGAGCAATCTTGCTGAATCCAGCCAGTTTGTATGTAATGTAGGTAGGTAAGTCAAAGCACTTCGAACCCGAGACCTCGTTTGGCATGTCCGAGTTTCGAGAGCGCAGGTACACATGTATGGTATGTGTGTGTGTGTGTGTATGTATGTATGTATGTAAGTAAGTATGTATGTATGTATGTATGTATGTATGTGTACGTGTATATGTTTTATCTATAACTCTCTATATGTATATATATATATATATATATACATATGTATTTATTTATTTATATACATATATATATACACACATACAGATTTTGAGTCGTCATTTGTCAGAGCCTAGTCTGTAATTCAGGTGACCTCGCTGCTCGTAGCCATGCGAGCAGA